GGGAAGGCAGGCCCCGCTCTGTGTGGGTCACTTGGACCCGGTGTGGTCGTGGGCGGGAGACGCAGTGTCCATGCTGGCGAGGCTTGCGTGGGAGGTGGCCCCTGCGCCTGCCTAGGCCACAGCAGCACCAGGCTGGACAGCAGCCTGACCGCCACCCGCACACCACAGGGAAGCCAGGCTCTCCCGGGCGCTGCTTCTCTCCCAGCAGAGGACAGGCTGTGGGGTGTGGCCTCCTACCCAGAACCCACCCTCAGGCGGGTGTCTCCACGTGGCCGGCATCCAAGCCAGTGGCTCTGGGTGGCTTCCTCCTGAGAGTGGGAAGTGGGGCTGGTGTCTACGCCTGCCTGGCCCTGCGCCCTTCTCGGCCCAACTCTCCAGCTGCCCCGGCCTCAGACAGACATCCCCACTGACAGCAAGCAGCCCCAGGGCCGCCCACGACAGTGGGCTCCCTGCACAGGCAGTTGGCCAGTCTGGTGTCCCCTGCAGCCCTGCCCCAGCCCCACGGCTGTTCCTGCAAAAGTGCCCGCTGGTCTGCCGTCCCACTCGTGCGCTTCCAGCCATGTGGGCCTCGCTGTGTCTGAATCCCAGGCATGCATGGTGGTCCAGCAAACAGCCCCCGGCCATAACCGCAGCCCAGGACAGGGACCTGGACCACAGCAGTGAAGACCACACGGCCCAACCTCAGGGCTCCCAGGACTGCAGGAGACAGGGGAGGATGCTCAGGGCTGGCTCTGCACTGCTGTCTCCCCTCTGAGGGTGGGAAGGATCCCAGCCCTCAGCACCCCGACTCCACCAGGCACACACACATGCAAACATCTGCGGTGTGGACACAGCCACACTCGCCAACAAAAACCAAAGACGTGGCTCTCCCAGTTTTGCACACACCAGGTGACTCAGAAACGGGGGGCAAAGGGACGCTCAACACCTCTCCCCACAGGACACATCTCCTCGGCCAGACGCACACTTCTTCCACCAGCCTGACTAAGGGCTTGTGCAGACGTGAGTCTCTCTATGTGAAAATCTTAAAGTATTGGCTCTACTCATGTGAAACCACATGCACCTGCTTGTAGGAAAATCCATGAACATTCAGGCAAAAGACACACCCTGTGTCCATCCGTGGAGTGTTGCTTGTTGGACACCCCGACTCTTCCAAGAGCTCTGGAACACCCCACACCACGTCCATGTCAGCCCGGAACACAGAGTTACAGCCCTGGGAAAGCACCCTCCACCACCTGGGCCACAGGGCTGGCTCCCAGGCCCTGGCAGACAGCTCCATGCCCACACCAGCCCAGACCACGGAACCACAGCCCTGGGAAAGTGCCCTCCACTGCCCGGGGCCAATGGGGCTGGCTGGGATCCCAGCCCTGGTGGGCAGCTCTGGGGGGCACCAGAAAACTTCAACCTGGGAAGAAAGTGAAAGTGGATTCTGCTCTAAAGCAGAAGGCACCGCCCGCCTGGTCGTTCTAAACATCCCTCGCCCTCCTTCCCACTCAAGGAGGGATACAGAGGAAACTGAGTCACCGGCTTCTTGCTGTGCAAACCCACAGCATTTCTCTCACAGGCAGGGACAATCCCCCTGGAAGCCGCACTGCCTGCAACGTCTCCACCTGCCTCCCCTTGTTTCTCAAAAACCTCTTCCCGTGTGGGCCCTGGGCGGGACCGGCTGAGGTGGTGGTGCAGGGAGACAGCCAGGGCTGTCCCCAATCCCCGCCCTAGCCCTGGGGGACGGCTGGGGACCCCCACCCTCCCACTGCCTCCCCTCCACCAGAGACCCCCGCCCAGAAGTCCCTGCCACCACAGGCCCAGCTGAGCCCCCTACAGGTGGCCACGTGTCACTGAGAGCGGCCGGGATTCAGTTCAAGGCCCAAGGCGGCCCTGCCTGCGTCCCAACTTGCCCCGGGGACACACATGACCTGCTAGTGAGTGGTGGCTGGGCTCTTGGGGTCAGCGCCCCGAGATGCCAGCAGGACCCACATGGGCACCTCGGCGGGACCTCTTCCTGGTTGTTTCAGGCAGAGGGCATCGCCCCGACTTGTCTCAGACAAGAAGCCGCCTCCCTTTCCCAAGCCCGCGCACAAGGGCGCATCCAGGAGGGCAGCCTGGCTCCAACATGGGAACGGACTGATTTAGGAGTGAGTAACTTGGCTGCCATCTCGACTACCGGCCAGGATTTGGGAGACGGGCCAGGGCCAGGCAGGGCAGGCAGCCAGGAGGCCACAGTCTGTCAGGAGGAGAGAGGAGCCCCCCATGTGAGGCTTCAGGGACCCTGGCCACAGGTCCGGGGTGGGTGGGAGAGCCACACGCCACATCCAAGTCCTCCCAGCAACATCCCATGTGGAAGGAGCTCACGCTGAAGGCTGACAGGGATGGGCACTGGGCACGAGTGCCCCATTCCACCCTTGGAGCAGGCCACCCCCCAAACACGACTTCTGATCTAGAAAATGGAGCTAAACACGTGCTGATGGCACAGGTGCCTTGGGCTGTCATGACCCTGGCTAGCCCAGCTTCGAGCCTTGCACCGAGGCCCTTCCCGGAAGGTGGTATTCCCTGGGGACCATGTGGCACGGGGGCAGAGTCAGGCCCGTAAAACCAGGGTACTCCCTTCAGGGACGTCTTCAGGTGCTCGTTATTCTGAAACTAGACCCCAACCGGGCATACTGTGTAGTAAAACAAAACTGTCACGAACATGAGAGATGGCACTTCAGGCGTGGGACACACCGGTGGCCCCAGAGGGCCACACCCTCACGCCCCCTGCAGGCGGGGCACCCCTGTGGCCACTGCCAGGCACCACAGGCCCGCTGTGAGCAGAAGCTGCCCTCACTCCCCATGGGTCTCAGAAGGGAAGCCGCGGTGTCGCCTTTGGACTGTTTTCTCCTCGGGAAAGGGAAGGGGTTTTTCTCAACAGCCCTGAGGGTCCTGTCTCTGAGTCCAGGCGGACGGGCCGGGAAATATGTTCTGAACAACTGGAAGGTAACCCGTCCTGACCCAGGGTCTCCTGCTGTCCAGCCCTCCCCCTTGCATGGGGCATTCTGGAAGAGAACGGGACTTTCTGCCACTGGCCGTGAGCTCCTGGCTCAGGCACCTGTCACCGTCTCAGCAGGGGGTGGCACATTTGTGGAAATCCCCAGTGGCGGGGACACCTCGCTGGGGACGACGCTGCATGTCCTGGCTTCCTCATGGGGAAGTCACAGTGCCAGCTCAACCTCCTGGCAAGGGGAGGCAGCGTCTGCACTGGGGGCAGAAGGGCGTGTGCTGGCCGCAGCCCGGGGCTCCCAGACACCGGGAGAGGACCTTATGCCCACAGAGAGAAGGACCCACAGTCAGCCTCAACCAGGCCCACCCACAGGATGCCTGATTCAAGGCCTGTTTTCCAAGGTGGAGCTCCGGACCCAGCACCCTGGACCACACGCGTCCACCTCTCTACTTTCTGTTTTCTGAAACACCCACCAGAACCTTCTCCCTCCCTGAAGCCTTACTCCTTTCCAAGGTGCCCACTAAGCTCAGGATAGGCGACAGCAGTCCCTCCCCCTCCGGCTTTCCCCCCCCCCCGCCAGCCCGAGCCCCGACAGAGCCGTGACTCCATGTTGGGCCCAGGTGCTTCGTGGTGGGAGGCAGGGCAGAGCCTGTGGGTCTCCAGGTGAAACTCAAGGGCCAGGATGGCGCCAAGCGTCTGGGAGTTTGGGGAGGAAGACAGAGTCCTCAGAGACAACATGGAAGACAAGCCCCGTGCCGCAGGGGGTGACACACAAACAGACCGCTGGAGGCCGCAATTAAAGCACCCAGGCCACAGGAGGCCGGCCCACGCCCTGCCCTCAGACTCCCCTGCTCCCTCCAGTCCGTGTCCCTGCCTCTCAAGGGCCTGTCTGAGCTCGTTTTCCAGAGGGTCCCCTACGACCTCTGGTCACCAGCACACCCCCTCCCCAAATCCCTTCCGAATCTGGCCATCCCGGACAGTTCAGCACAGTCTAGGCCAAGGCTTTGGACCTCAGTGGGTTCACACCTGCCCCACTTTTGGCTGTGAGATGCCAGCGAGCCCCTTCACCTCTCCCAGCTAGCTTCCCTCCTACAAAACGGGCCTAATAGCAGGACCCTGGTAAGTGGGCAGCTGTGACGGTGATCTGACGGGGAGAGATTCAGCCTAGGGCCTGGCACAGGGTGTGTCATCGCTGTTGTTGTTATTATTACTTAGGGAATCCCAGTCAGCCTCAGTCTGAAGGACCTGGGGCCGTGTGTGCCACTTTCCCAGCACCCCTAGAGCTGAGTTTAATAAACACTTGCTGTGCAGAATTAGCCGGAGGCCGAGCCTCCTAATAACCCAGCTGGCACTGCTTTAAAGAAAAATTAATTTTGCCAGTGATAAGCAAACCGGCCGTGCAATTATCTGTACGCACACAGACAAAGAAAGGGAGGGCGTGGAGCCGGGATGGGCAGGACGCCTGGCAGTTCTCCTCTGCCGCCCAGATGGGCACCCGCCCTGCTCCCACGGGAGACTGGAGCCCGGCTCTGGTCCGGCATCTCCCGGCTGTCTGCCCCTCCAGCCGGCTGGAGGCTGTCGGCGGACACGGGCCTTGCTGTCTAGAGTTCCCCAGCTGACTGGCAGACGCAGGAGGTGGCACCCCCACCGGCCTCTCTGGGTCATGCGCCCTGCCCCGGGCTGGGACCGCATGGAGCCAGGGCCCAACAGAGCGGCTCCAGTTCCCACGCTAGGGTGGCAGGGACGCGGCCCAGTTCCGCGGGCCGCCCAACACAGGACCCCTTCAGGAAGCCCGCGCCCCCCCAGTCCCGAGCCCCTGCGTCCCGACCCCGCCCCTGCCCCGCGGTGGCCCAGGTGCCCGTGGCGCAGGCGCCTCAGCCATGTGCTCCGGCCTCGCCCCCAGGGCGGCCGGCCGCAAACTTTCTGCTCGACCCCTGCTCGCGCCCGGACGGGCCGCCCACGCGCCCGCCCGCTGCTCGCCCGCTCGCCGCCACCCACCGGCCGGCCCTCCCGTGGCCGCACTCACCGATCTGCGCCAGGCCCAGCTGCGCCAGGCAGAGTCCCCAGGCCGCGCGCCACCA